CCATGGTTTACAAAACATAAGAGCAAATTGAACTGCAACCAAAAGTGTTCTCCTTAAAACAAATATAAATCTAAGGCGTTAGCCTACTCATCATTAGACATTAAAATTGCATACTGAATTATTGTTGCGTATGTGACATAGAAGCCCATATGGGAAAATATATTGGCCACTGCCTGCAAGCTTGTACCGTTGTATTTTTGCACTGGAGGCTACCTTGTTTGAAACCCACTGCTTTCACTTGGTTCATCACCATTAACTTGTTTGTCCCTTTGGCTCATCATGTTATTAGCTATGGACTTGACATTTACTTTGGAGTTCAAGGACTTGTTGCGCTTGTTTATGCAGAGAGCTCTCATTTTGTTTGCCAATTTCGTCTTCTGCTTTCTCATCTTTAAATGTTTTTGTGGTTCCTGAATTGTGTAGTGGAAGAGGTACATCATCACAGTTAAGTCTGTGTGGAATAACCCGAAATGGGTTCTGGAATTTGAACTTTCCAAAGACTGCATTGCTCCCTAAAAAAAGATCATACATTGTTTTGTTCATTTGGTGAAGAAACCCTGCTATTCATCGGGGGAAAATCCCTTCACTAAAGGGTGTGTACTACAGATGCAAGCTATTCTGGTCATTCAAGTTTTTTTTTTCAACCCAACTTAGGAGTATACTAAAATCTTGTCAAACTCAGCATATAAGTATACTGCAAACGATTCATAGATGGCTGCTCATACTCATACATGTATCCCTAGAAGCAACAGGTTGAACACTTGGAACTCCTTCCACCGCATCGCCAGAAAACTATATACAGATAAAAGCTTTTTGTACCACTATCAACCAAGGTCACAGATCGACACGTTCTTATCCCCAACACCTCAGCAGTCTCCCTGCTGCGAAGGTGAAGCCTGTTCAGAAAAGCAGAAAGAGATAGTAAAGAGAAAGTAGTTCCTTAGGAGCCATCCAAGAAGTAATAAGGAAAGGGAACTGACATTGATACATCAAATGGTTACCTCAGAAACAAAACACTTGCCAACGCCGTGTCATACCAATTCCCAACAGAACCCTAATGAAAACGACATTATCGTGCATTCTCCCCTCCAAAGCATCATCACCGCGCTGGCTGTATGGGCTGGTTGTCCCTCGTTGATGCGTTCTGTTAGGCTATAGATTACTGAAACAAATGTAGTTAAATGACCATAGCCATCAATCATCATCATCTGCCTGTAGGGCTGGGCATGCGGGCGGATCATCCGCGGGTTTGGGCCGACCCACCCGCATTTGACCCGAATTTCGTAAAGTGGGTGGGTCTGTGGGTGGGTGACGGGTTGCGCTAGGAGCCATCCGCCAGGTGGTGGGTGGGTTGTGGGTGAGTGTGCGGGTGACCCGCTCAACCCAACACCAAAAAGATCAAAGTCGTTGGCGCTAGAGAGAGGAGAGTGGAGACGTTAGATATAAACTCGGACTGCTCCTGGAGTTTGAAGCTCAAAGCCAACCTTCCAAATAGAGATCCCCTCTTCTTCCCTTTACTTTTTCCTCTAATTCTTGTGCCTAGATCACCGCTCTTTCTTTTGTGGAATTATTTTCCTTAGTTCCTTGCACCTAATAATCATCTCAATTTGTAGAAAACTCTTTCATAATAGAATTTCTATCCAATTTAAGAACTAATTCGACATTTTTCGCCCTATTTCAACTTCTTGTTTCCCTCGATGATTCTCTTCACCTATTATCATTTCAAGTTGACTCCTTTATATTATATACATTGTAATGTGGGTGAACCCACAAACCCACCCGCATCATCCACCATCCGCCCGACTCAACCCGAGACTAAATGTGGGTGGGTGGTGGGTTAAAAATTATCAATCCATTTAAGCGCGGGTGAGTGCATTTTATGGTCAAAATCCACCCGACCCACCCAATGCCCACCCCTATCTGCCTGTACCTACTGGCCATGTCGACTGACTTACAATCAAATGAAATTGGGGATCAAAAGTTGGTTCAGTTTCGGCCATGTCCCAATTACACAATGACTATGTCAAATAAACAAACCATGGATCAAAGTAATGCAGCTGCAATAAGGAAACGCAGCATCACCTTAAAGCAAAGATTATCCACCATTACCTATCATGTGCTTCAAAACTCGATCATACTGGTTGTTGTCCTGAGCATAAGAAGACGAAGAAACCGAACTGGTCTCCAGTAAGTTGAATTTCATGTCCTCTTTCCGTATGATGTCACAACCTCTCTTTAGAGGCCCACCTCAGAGAAAATAAGGAAGAATTTCTTAACATCAGTAACCATGCAAGCAAATGAACCATCCATCCTACCACTAAGAATGTAAACAAAGACACATTTTCTCTAAAAGACAGACCCCTAAGCTGATCTCTATCATTTTTTGGGATTATTGTGGGCTGTCATTGATGAACTCGATAAAGTAAAAAGAACCCAAGAGCTGTGATTATATAACATATAATTAATTCCTTGGCCTCACTGCATTAGCCCACCCAGCTGACATTAAGAAGATATAAGCATAATTCCAAATAAATGGCTTGCTAAACGGTAAACTTAGAGTAGCAACAGAATATACAATAAGCACAAACATGTCGAACAAATATTCCAGAGTAGCATCGAGACCTTCTAATAGTATGTACGGCTACACATTAATAGGGTCACTTTAGTGAGCAAAGACAGATCCCTGGCATGTAAATTATACTGCACAAATCATCCCAAAACATAAACTGTGCAGAACAACGAACCTGGGCCAGCATCATCTGAGGTCATCACTTGATAACCTTTCTTTGACAAGGCCTTTGTAATGTCCTCCACAAATCAGAGTTTTTTCCAGAAATAGCACCTTTTAAAAAAAAAATTACAAAACTAGCACCCTTCCGAAAATATTTACAAAACTAGCACCCTTTTTTATGGACCGCACCTTAGAGGTGCGTTTTACATATAAACCGCACCCTCCAGGTTCGTTTTATACATAAACCGCACCTCTAGGGTGCGGTCCATTTTCCTGGGCTGAAACCGTATCTTGGCCATGCGGTTTCATGTCTGCCCTACACGAACCGCATGGCCGAGGTGCGGTTTTTGGCCTGACCTAGCCAAACCGCACCTTAGAGATGCGGTTTGTTCCTCCAAAACCAAACCGCATCTCTAAGGTGCGGTTTAGCCACACAAACCGCACCCCCCAAGTGCGGTCTGTGTGTCAATAATTTTCCGACACCCGACAAACCCATGCAGAGAATTATGGACGTAGGTCTGCATGGCAGACTAAAACTGCACCTTAGAGGTGCGGTTTTCTCATTTTTTCCCCTATATAAGACTGCCGGAAAACCTCTACTCTTCACACCTCTCCTTCTCTCTTTTCATTTTTCTTTTGTATTCCTATATTTCTTTAGTGTTTTTGCCATTAATATTAACTCGTAAGTTTATTTTGTGTTACTTTTTATTGTTATTTTTTATTTGTGATTTTTATGATATTAACTGAACTACGGTTTTTTTGTGTGCAGATGGCATTCCGTCAGTTCACGCTTGGCTTACGGTGGAATGGTTACACAGAAGAGACCGGAAAGGGGGCCACCTACGTCGGTGGCAATTTTCAGAAAATAACGGTCGGTACCAGACCGAAGCTTGAAGACCTCCATCAAATATGCACTAACGTTACTTGCATGGATGGCACGAGAAGAGTAGATCGAATGGTGTAGCGATATCCAAACAGAGAAAGTGGGTCATTGTGGCATGAGGAATATACCATAACCACTCAAGATGAAGTAGATTCCATGCTCGAATTCTTGAGGTCCAACAAATTGGCCAAAGCCGAGATGTTCGTTTACACCGAGCCAGCCGTTGGTGTTGGAGGTCATTCTGGACACGGTCAAACATCTGGTATCCATGGTGGAGGTGAATTATATGGCGATCATCCCTACCAAAGTTACCATGATCCTCATTCCTATTTTCAGTACCAAGATGGAGGGCAAGGTGAAGGCCGTCATCAATCTTTCCCGTCATATGAAGAAGAAGTTCAACTGGACCTCGGCCACCAACCCCAGTACAACTTCCAATCAGGCAGCGGTAGTTTTCACAACTACCATTATGGAGCTGATGAAGGGTGCCTTTCATGAGCTGGATGAGATGGAAGCTGCCATGCTAGCACTAGTCAGCGACCCCTCCGATGAAGAAGGAGAGAACAACGTCAATGCAGACAGCTCCGACCCTCTTGAAAGTTGAAGGTGCTGATGATTCAGGACCAGAGTCAGATTCAGATAATGATCATGATGTGGCTCCTGACCGTGTACCAGTCCCCTACTACAATCACATTCCAGACGACAATTGGATGATCGACAGCGACATGGAGCCGCCAGAGGTCCCAATATGGGGCCCACTCACTGGGTTTACGAAGGGCCAACAATTTGGCTCGAAGAAGGATGTGCGGCACGCCATTGAGATTGAAGTAATGACTCGGCATTTTGAATGACACACAACTCATTCCAACACCAAAAGGCTCATACTCGCTCCTCTGGCAAGCGTTCAGCCGCCCGATCGCCCCTCCATCCAACGGTTTTGAAGATCGTTCCGCAGCAGCTGTAAATCGCACCCGCCAAGTGCGTTTTGTAAACTGGAACGCACCCCTATGATGCGTTTTATAAGTAAAACGCACCCTTCTGGTGCGGTTTACTTATAAAACGCATCTTAGGGGTGCGTTCCAACAAAATTGGTGCTACAATTGTAAATTTTTTTATTTGGGTGCTAGTTTTGTAATTTTATTTTTAACGGTGCTAGAATTGGAAAAAACTCCACAAATCACCACAAAATGCACCTGCAACAAACAATCATTTCAATCTGCTAAGCTCATCTAAAATGATTTAACGGGATGGTAAAAACTACAAACAATCATTGAATTGAAGCAATCAAATAATTGAGGAGAGAAACCAAACTGGATGCCTATTATGCAGAACCGCTTTCAATTAGTCTCCTCATGTAGCTAATCGTAGAAAGGTGTGAAATAGCTCCTTGTACTGAAACTCCATGTGCTTCAACAGAATCTCCTCCATTTTTGAACATAGTGTAGTAACCCCACTCACTCTGATCGCCATGGTAGCAGCTCTAAGTTCCCCTCTACATTTCCCTGGAAATGTAGGAATGGAGCCCACAGTCAACTTTGGACCATTCTTTAATGGAAATCGATCACAATGTTGGGAAAGGAGTACATACAGCATCAAAGACCAGTGCTCGATTATCACAACTGTTCAGTTGTATGCCTCTATTGCTTATTTGGGTTGCTCCTGAGCAACTGGAAGGACAACCTTCAACATAAGAAGCTCCCACTGACCCATCTCTGCTTCCCAATTTGGTCTTCAAAATCCAGATTTGCTTGTTTATCGACTTCCAAAGCGTAGCTGCAAAGAACAAAATAAATGACAAAAATCAGGTTCTTTTTAACAACAAACATGAGCAAGACAAACCCCAAAAAAAAAAAGAGGCAGAGAGTGGTAACAGTAAGTAGTATCCTGTTGGGAAGAGCACCAAAGCTTGTTGTATTTGTCAACTAAGCCATTTTTGTAGACGGTAAGCTTTCCGTTTCGAGCAGAAGGGCCAGCTAGCATACACACCACCAGAGCAACATCAACAACAATGGCCTACCAGGCGCAGCCGCGAAGCCAGAAAAAACAGGAAATCCAAACAGACCAAAAAGTCGAGTAAGAGAAGATTAGAAATAAGACCTACCAGACGCAGCCGTCGTTGCTCCCCTCGTCGACATCGTCATCCCCACCCTCGTTTACCTCCTCGTTTTGAAACTCGCCTTCGCCTTGTTGATCGCCCACCAACACCATGTGAACTGCTCCCTCTTGTTTCAACTCCCTGTAACCTTTCTGTTTGTCGATTTGGGGCAGATTGTGGCAGGTCCAATCCAAGAGGGAACAATTCGACAGCGGGAGAAACGAACACATTGGTGCTGCTCGTTCTGTCTTTACGAAAATGGAATGGGGATTGGGTGTTGGGAAAGAAGCATGTTAGGGATAGCTGGCGTGGTGACGATGGGGATTGGGTGTTGGGAAAGAAGCATGTCAGGGAGAGGTGGCGGACCGGCGTTTCCGGGAAAGAGGCATGGTGAAAGGATGGAAGGACAAAGAGCGATCCATTGTAGCAGATTTGGCGGTAAGGCCGAGTGGGGACATGCGTGGAGGGTATGGTTGCTGATTGAACAGGGGGGAGGCGGAGCTGAACGGTGATTTGACACAGAAGCAGCGGCGGCAGCATTGGAAACGGAAGCCAACCCGCCGTGAGCTAAAACACCCTTTTAGCTAGGCGACAGAAAGTGAAACAGTTACAATAAGTTGTGGGGAGATAAAGCGTACCCACCTTTTATCTTTTAAACAATTAAACAACAACAATGAACCACATTGCTGGTTGGTACACCAAAAGCACTTCATCTAAGCTATACAGCCTTTCCAGGTGCCAGAAGAAACAGCGGAATTGAATTGCTTACATCTCGAACGGAAGAGTTCTTCCTTGGTTAACTACAAGGCAGAGCCAACGCTACACATTGGTCTGGCTGGCACATCGGATTCCATGTTATTCATTCCAGCTATGGCAATACATCCATACCAGAAACCTTTGAGGTCATCTCGTCTATTTTGGTGCTACCCAATACAACCAAAGCTTTTCTGGAAACCAAGCTTTAAGTCACCATCCCTTCATAATCATATATACACCTCCAACCACCCACCATGATTTCCAACCTCTCATCATTGCACCAATTTGTTTCTTTTAAGTGACTATCCGTCAAAGATCCAAGCTTTTTTGCTGTCTTACTCTAAATAGCTCTCCCCAGCTCCTACAAACTCAAAGCTTTCCCTGCCCTTAAGTTCACTATGGTTCCTTCTGAGAAAACAAACCTAAGCGAAAAGAAAAAATCAAGAAGAAGAAGAAATGGGTTGTTGGGTTTTCTCTAAGCCACATGTAGCAGTTGCTCTAGCCTTGGCTCTCTTGCTTTGCAATGCTCCTCTTTCTTCCTCCGTTCCAGCGCCTCCTCCTCGAAATTCTACTGGAGAGGATGGAGATGAATTTAGAATGACAAGAAGGGACTGGACTGGTGTTCTTCTGGTGTATGGTCCGCCAATGGGGATAGCTTTACTGATGGGTCTCCTCTTCCATATGTGTGATCTTCTCAAACATAGAACATTAGTCACAGTTCAGGTCTTCCCCCCCTCTCTTTCTCTTTCTCGCTCTCTCTCCAACAGGCAACAAGCCAGGGTGATGTATGTTTCACATTCTGTCCATTTTAGGTTGTGGTATCTGCTAGAGGCGGTGACATTGGAGGAGCACTCCATGATGTTGCTGCAAGTGCTTTTCATTGGACGGAATCAATGGAAGGTTTCTTTCTTTTCCATGGTTTCTTAATCTGATGATTGACCTGTTTTGCCAAATTGCTTGCAGAATCAGTTCTATTTCATTAAGCCTTGCTAAATCTGATTGCAGGAACCATAAGAAAGCTGGTGGGTGAACAGCAGAACTTCATATATGGCTCCACATCTGTGAAAGTAAATAGTTAATTACAACAAGTAACCTTTCCATTTTGTTTTTGTTAGAACTGCAACTAGCTAGTAATTAGCTACAAGTAAGTGTTAGAAGAAGGGATCAATTTCGATCTCGACACATTCTGTTGGTTGGTGCAGGTGAGACGTGGGATAACCTATCATGGGCTCAAGCGGCATCTGGGAGATTTGGCAAGCAAGGAAATGAAGAAACTGGAGATCCAACGTGTCAAACTCGAGAATGGCCAACTAGTGCCCAAGTTGGGTCTTAAACAGAACAAGGACTACACTCTGGTGAGCTATCGTTCACCTTCGTAGCAGTGAGATATTATCGTTCCAAGCTGTCTTCTCATTCTGAAATTTGACAAATTTGTGTTTGATGTGCTGCTTGCTACACCTTAGGTGACAATCATGGTGGCCCTGCATGGTGCTCACCAACTTCCTTGCGTTGACAGTAGTAGTGAGGAAATGAAGGATGTTCTCAACTATCTGGATACCAAACTTAATCAAATTCTGGCAAGCACGATTACTGTTCTTTTTATATTATTGAGGCTTTATATATAATAAAGAGTTATGATCTACCTATCCATCCTGATTCCTGCCATTCATTAACAGTGATCAGATTCTGAAACGTTTTATGTCTGCTTTACAGGTGGCAGAGGTGATATGGGGTTATAAGGATCCGTTTGCAGCCATGAGATTGCTTGACAGTTGCCCAAATCTGAAGTCGTTCGTAGCTTAAAACAGGATGCTGCAGCATGATGATCACTAACTAGTGTTTCTGGTTTTCGGCTAGTAAGAGTAATTCGTGTTTGAAGGTCATTTTGTGTTAGAAACGGAACAACAACAAGATGAGGATACCGAATCTGGAGCTGAGTCGCGGACTAGGTCGCTTTCTTTAAGACGTTCGCGGCACTGCCCTCGATGCGCACGGCAGACTATCAACCGGTCGTCTCCAGGATAAAACAGCTCCTCTGTGTACTCGCGGTTTTGTGCGAAAACCGGAGCTCTCTGAACACTCTCTCTATTGTGTTTATGCTCGTTGTTGTGTGTTTAGAGGGGCTGGGGAGGCGGCTATTTATAGGAGCCGAACCCCTAGGAATATACCCTCTTGCTTGGGGAATAAGTCGGATTAATTAAGGAAGATAATTACTTCCTTAATTAAAACCGTCGGTTAGGATAAATCCTGCGGAGATTATCCTTCGAATATTCCTTTTCAATCGATTATCCCTTGGAATATTCCTCAGAGTAACCGATTAATAATTAATTATTAAATAATTAATTTCGTTCGGAATTTCTCCAAAAAATATGTATATAGTCTCAAGTGATCCATCCATCCATCCATCCATCCAACCAACCAACCAACCGACCGACCGGCCGGTCGGACGGACGGACGGCGCGCGCGTGTGTGGTGGTCCGTTAGGTCCTCCCTCTCCCACAAAAGTGGGTCACCCCAAGGGGCATGCCCTTAGGAGAGAGGCTCCTATCTTTATAATCACTTCACCAAGTAAAACTACCAATGTGGTAGTTTTTCCACTTGAGACTCTATAGCTTTCAAAGCTATTCATACACATTTCCAACAATCCCCCACTTGAATAGTTTTGAAACTATCTCTGAGCATCAACAGTTCCATAAGATCGGGCATAAGCTAAGGTATCGCGAAGATTTGAACCTTAGCGTAGTGGTTACACTTCCGATTTCATAAGGGTGACTCGTAGTCTTGAACCCTATCTCAGACAGTGTAGCACACCGGATCTTTTCATTGAGTTGTGTTCTCTTCTTAGCCCGTGCGTTTATGGCCTTGCACGTTACCCTGGTTTAGTGAACGCTCTAGCAACTTTGTGCCTCTCAAAGTTCCATAGGGAGCGGCCCCACTCCCACATTCACATAGGTGAGTCTATCAGGAGTACCCCCAAAGTAAAGTACTCCACCCCACATAGGGTATAGATCTCATTAAGAGTTATTAACTCAACCTCCATTGCTTTGGGATTCATGCTTCATTATGCATGAACTTTTCGCATACTACTCATGACTTGTTATTACCCATTGAACCCATTTCTTGGGATCTCCAGTCTATTGGGTCGGGTTACCATCACTTGTAGTCCGTGGTTCGGTAGGCATAAGTCCCATACCCTTGGCAGTATTCTGGACTTTCTCTCTAGGTAATCCTTTCGTCAAAGGATCAGCTAGATTCTGTTCGGATCTTATATGATCCACCCTCACTGCTCCTATCGTTAGGAGTTCTCTAACAGTACTGTGCTTACGACGAATCTGTCGTTTCTTTCCGTTATAGAACCGGTTCTCAACTTTAGCGATAGCTGCGGTACTATCACAATGTATCAATACCGGAGGGACCGGGCTTTCCCATAGGGGAATCTCTGACAACAATCCTCTCAACCAACTTGCTTCTTCACTAGCCGTTGCTAGTGCTATCATCTCTGATTCCATAGTTGATTGAGCTAGGATTGTTTGTTTCTTTGACTTCCAAGACACAGCTCCACCAGCGATGTTAAAAACATATCCGCTGGTTGCCTTGGAGTCATCTGATAGGGTATTCCAATCCGCATCACTATACCCTTCTAGTACAGCGGGAAACCTTTGATAGTGTATACCAAGGTTTGCTGTTCTCTTGAGGTATCTCATGACCCTCTCTATAGCATTCCAATGCTCTCTACTAGGACAGCTGTTAAACCTGCCAAGCAATCCCACGACATATGCAATGTCTGGTCGAGTGTAATCCGCAGCATAACGGAGACTGCCAATGATGCTAGCATATTCTGTTTGTCTTACACTGTCTCCAGTGTTCTTGAATAGCTTTACACTAGCATCATACGGAGTACACGCAGGTTTACAGTCGAAATAGTTATACTTCTTCAAGATCTTCTCTATGTAACTAGATTGATCTAGAGAATAACCATTTGCTGTTCTAGTTATCTGGATTCCAAGCATAAACTTTGCTTCTCCCAGATCTTTCACCTCAAAGCTCTCTTTTAACATGGCTTTCGCTTCATTGACCACGTGAATATTTGTACCAAATATCAACATGTCATCTACATACAAACATATGATAGTGCAAGTGCTATTCTCTGTCTTGCAGTAAATACACTTGTCACTTTCATTCACCTTAAAGCCATGTGAGAGAACGAGAGTGTCAAACTTCTCATGCCACTGTTTTGGAGCCTGTTTCAAACCATATAGTGATTTGTCCAACTTACAGACTTTCGAGGCATGTTCAGGGATAACAAACCCTTCTGGTTGTTCCATATAGATTTCTTCATCTAGATCACCGTTCAAAAAAGCAGTCTTAACATCCATTTGGTGTACCACGAGATTGTTCAAGGCAGCAAGAGCAATCATGACACGAATGGATGTTATTCTAGATACTGGTGAATAGGTGTCGAAGAAATCTATATTCTCTCTCTGCCTGTAGCCCTTGACTACTAGGCGAGCTCGGAACCTTTCGATTGCACCATCAGGTTTCCGTTTCGTTTTTAGAACCCATTTATTACCTAAGACTTTGCAGCCAGGAGGTAAGTCTGTTAGATGCCAAGTCTTATTAGCCTCTAACGATTCCATTTCATCTATAACGGCCTCATTCCAAAAGTCTGCATCTATGGAAGTTAGTGCTTCCTGCAAACTTTTTGGATCCTCTAGGGTGTATACTGTAGTAAAGTCATCACCAAAATCTTTAGAGATTCTAGCTCTTTTACTTCTTCTGAGTTCATCCTCAGATCCAACACCCCCACTTGTTCCGTTATCTCTAATAGCGGGTAGTACATTACCCCCACTATTTCTCGTTTTAAATGGAAATCGTGTCTCAAAGAAATCAGCATCAATGGATTCTATTACTGTACGAGCATTCAAATCATAGAATCTATATGCCTTACTATTGGCCGCATAGCCAACGAAGACACATTCATATGCTCGACTAGCCAACTTAACCCTCTTAGGATCAGGAATTCTTACGTAGGCCAAACAGCCCCACGTTCTTAAATAGGACAGATTAGGTGGCTTATTCTTCAAGATCTCATAGGGTGATTCTTTTCTATTTGTTTTTGGAAGACGATTTAGCACATAGCAAACCGTCAACAAAATATCACCCCACCAAGAAGAAGCAGCTCCAGAATTGAGCATAATAGCCACAACTAATTCTGTAAATGTCCTATTTTTCCGCTCAGCTTTACCATTCATCTCTGGTGAATATGGTGCCGTGGTTTCATGAATGATACCATGTGAGCTATAGAATTCCTTGAAGGGATTAGAGTCATACTCTGATCCTCTATCGCTCCTAAGTCTTTTTATCTTTCGATTGCACTGATTTTCGAATTCAACCACAAATACCTTGAACATGTCAAGGGCTTCACTTTTGTTTTTCATCAAATAAACAAGGCAATAATCAGAGCAATCATCTATGAAAGTTATAAAGTATCTCTTGCCAGACCTAGTTAACGTCCCATCTAGTTCACAAATATCAGAATGAATCAGATCTAAGGGTTCTGATTCTCTACTCACAGATTTATGGGGCGTTTTCGTTATTTTAGCTTGGCTACAGAAATCACATTTATCAAATTCATTCATTGAGAGTTTAGGGATATGCCCTAGCTTGCTTAAATTCTTCACAATTCGTGTGTTCACATGACAAAGACGAGCATGCCAAACATTCAAATCACACACCATGTAAACTGAAGAATTCATCTTATTAATTTCGACATTCAATTTGAACATCCCATTACATGCATATCCCTTTCCCACAAAACTCCCATTCTTAGTAAGGGTATACAAGTCTGCCCCAATAGATTGATTAAACCCAGCCTTATTAAGAAGATATCCCGAAACAAGATTCTTCCTTATCTCTGGAGTGTGCAACACATCCTTAAGCACCATCTTCTTCCCAGAGGTGAAGTTCAGCTCCACTTCACCAGAACCAGCAACCATAGTGGTGTGAGTAGTCCCCAACAACACTTTCTTGTCAGCAGGTGCTTCTTCGTATGTTTTAAACATAGCACGATTGTTGCATACATGCTTCGATGCACCTGTATCCAGCCACCATCCTTCTGAGTCACCGGTGAGGTTAACTTCAGCAATCATATCTGTGATCATGGCTACCAAATCCTCTTCTGTCAAGTTAACCCTGGCCGCAGCGGCGGGGTTATGCTTGTTCCTGCACTTTTTTGCCATATGACCCGGTTTTCCGCAGTTAAAGCAGATAAACGGTGGGTCATTCTTAGAGGTTTGGGCCATGACCCTTTGGTTACCTCGAGAGGCACCATTCTGGTGGGGGCGGACCTGCTGGTTCTTACCCTTAAACCTTTTCTGGTTAGGTTTAAGAGCTCTAGGGGTGGGTCGTTTAGCAGTGACGACCATCACCTCTTCTTTCATATCCTGCTTGCGGGACTCTTCCTCAATCCTTAGGCGAGTAATCAAACTTTCCAGTGAAAATTCTTTGGTTTTATGTCTAAGCATATTCTTAAAATCTTTCCACGAAGGGGGCAGCTTATCAATAATGCAAGCAACTTGAAATTGATCGTCCAGAGGCATACCTTCAGAGACGATCTCGTGAGCTATTTTCTGAAGTTCGTGGGACTGAACTTCGACAGACTTGTCATCCACCATCTGATAGCGCAGGTAGCGGCTGACAGCATACTTCTTAGCTCCAGCCTCCTCCGTGTCGTACTTCTTTTGGAGCGCATCCCAGACCATCATTGCGGTGTTCTTGCTGTCCGCATAGTAGTCGTAGAGGTCGTCTGCCAGGCCGTTGAGGATGTAGCCCTTGCATAGGAAGTCATGCTCCCTTTCCTTAGCAGCAGCAGTCCTCTCCTCATCGGTCGCTTCTTCCGGCAGCTCGACGGGCATGCTAGTGAGGCAATGTGCCAACTTCTTGGTCGTCAGGTAAAACTCCATCTTTTGTTTCCAGCGACGAAAGTTGACTCCAACGAAGCGAAACGGTCGATTGATATCGACAGCACCAGATCCGGCCATGTTGTTCTGTTCAGTCGACATAGCAGCAGCCGAACGTCTTAAAATTGTTAGAAACGGAACAACAACAAGATGAGGATACCGAATCTGGAGCTGAGTCGCGGACTAGGTCGCTTTCTTTAAGACGTTCGCGGCACTGCCCTCGATGCGCACGGCAGACTATCAACCGGTCGTCTCCAGGATAAAACAGCTCCTCTGTGTACTCGCGGTTTTGTGCGAAAACCGGAGCTCTCTGAACACTCTCTCTATTGTGTTTATGCTCGTTGTTGTGTGTTTAGAGGGGCTGGGGAGGCGGCTATTTATAGGAGCCGAACCCCTAGGAATATACCCTCTTGCTTGGGGAATAAGTCGGATTAATTAAGGAAGATAATTACTTCCTTAATTAAAACCGTCGGTTAGGATAAATCCTGCGGAGATTATCCTTCGAATATTCCTTTTCAATCGATTATCCCTTGGAATATTCCTCAGAGTAACCGATTAATAATTAATTATTAAATAATTAATTTCGTTCGGAATTTCTCCAAAAAATATGTATATAGTCTCAAGTGATCCATCCATCCAACCGACCGACCGACCGGCCGGTCGGACGGCGCGCGCGTGTGTGGTGGTCCGTTAGGTCCTCCCTCTCCCACAAAAGTGGGTCACCCCAAGGGGCATGCCCTTAGGAGAGAGGCTCCTATCTTTATAATCACTTCACCAAGTAAAACTACCAATGTGGTAGTTTTTCCACTTGAGACTCTATAGCTTTCAAAGCTATTCATACACATTTCCAACATTTTGTGTGTGGAAGACTGTTGCCATTTGCATATTAGTTTGAGTTCCGTATGTTACCCAATAGGAGCCTGACTCTAGTACTACATCCTTCAATTATGTGTTGACTTTTGCGTTGGATTGTTGGCTACGGAATCCGCTTGTGTTTTGTAACTTGTTTTCTGCTTCGGTAAGGGTAAACCTTGTGTGTCTATTCTACATGGGCCTAGCACATATGTTGAGTTCTTCCTTGGGAGCCAACGCTACAAATTGGTCTGGCTGGAACATCGGATTCCATGTTATTGTTCCTGCTATGGCAAATTGGCAATACATCCAAACCAGAAACCTTTGAGGCCATCCCGTCTATTTTTGGGCTACCCACTACAACCAAAGCTTTTCTGGAAACCAAGCTGTAACTCACAGTCCCTTCATATATACACATCCAACCACCCACCTTTATTTCCACCTCTCATAATTGCACCAATTTGTTTCCTTAAATGACTATCCGTCAAAGCTCAAAGCTTTTTTACTGCCTTACTCTAAATAGCTCTTCCCCTGCTCTTAAGTTCACTATGGTTCCTTCTGAGAAAACAAGCCTAAGCGAAAAGAAGAAAAAAATCAAGAAGAAGACTAAGAAGAAGACTAAGAAATGGGTTGTTGGGTTTTCTCTAAGCCACATGTAGCTGCTGCTCTAGCCTTGGCTATCTTGCTTTGCAATGCTCCTCTTTCTTCCTCCATTCCAGCGCCTCCTCCTCGGGATTCTACTGGAGAGGATGGAGACGGATTTACAATTACAAGAAGTGAAGTCCATGCTTTGGTTCTTTTTGTGTATGGTCTGGTGGGGAGTTTTGCACTGATGCCTTTTGTCCTCTTCGTGTATGAGTTTCTCAAACAGAGAACAGTTGTCACAGTTCAGGTTTTCCTCTCTCTCTCTCTCTCTCTCTCTCTCTCTCTCTCTCTAACAGGCAACAAACCAGGATGATGATGTTTCAAATTCTGGTCCTTTTAGGTTGTGGTGTCTGCTAGAGGTGGTGATATTGGAAGTGCACTCCATGATGTTGCTGCAGGTGCTGTTGGTTGGAGGGGAACACTGAAAGGTTTCTTCTTCTTTTCCATGGTTAATTCCTTAATCCGATTGACCTATTTTGCCAACCAACTTGCTTGCGGAATCGATTCTGTTTCTTTAAATCTGATTGCAGGAACCATAAAAAAGCTGGTGGGTGAACAGCAGAACTTCATCTATGGCTCCAGCTCTGTGAAGGTAAAGTTACAACTAGTAGCAACCTTTTCATTGTTTGAGAACTGCAACTAGCTAGTAATTAGCTGCAAGAAAGTGCTCAATTTCGACCTTGACACAGTCTGTTGGTTGGTGCAGGTGAGACGTGGGACAACCTATCGTGGGCTCAGGCGGCATCTGGCAGATTTGGCGAGCAAGGAAGTGAAGAAGCTGGAGATCCAACGAGTCAAACTCCAGAATGGCCTACTAGTGCCCAAGTTGGTTCCCAAACAGAACAAGGATTACACTCTGGTGAGCTTCCTCTGGCCTCCACTGCAGTGAGATAGATTATTTGCCAAAGTTGATGATGGGTGCCTTGCCTTTTTTCTCTTGGAACTTATTGTGTTTGATGTGCTGCTTTTGCTACTACACCTTAGGTGACAATCATGGTGGCTCTGCATGGTGCTCACCAACTTCCTTCCGTTGACAGCAGTAGTGAGGAAATGAAAGATGCTCTCAAACATCTGGATACCAAACTTAATCAAATTCTGGCAAGCATTACTGTTTTTGTTATATACAATCGAGGCTCGCTGTATACAGAGTTGTGATCTGCCTGTCCATACTACCATTCATTCAAAGTGATCAGAATCTGAAACGTTTTATATCCGTTTTACAGGTGGCAGAGGTGGTATGGGGTTATAAGGATCCGTTTGCAGCCATGGGATTGCTTGAGAGTTGCCCGAATCTGAAGTCCTTCATTTCTTAAAACAGGATGTTGTAGGATGATGGTCACTAGCTAGTGTTTCTGGCTTTCTTTTAGTAAGAGTAATTCATGTTTGAAGTTCATGTTGTGTGTGGAATACGTAGTGATAACTAAGGGGGAACTAAGAAGCTTTATGGGATTAATGTATTTCTAGCCCAAGAGGGCAAGCCAAGACTGTTGCCATTTGGATATTAGGTTGTTTTTCCTTATGTTTCCCTTTCCCAGCAGGAGCTTGACTCCAGAACTACATCTTTTCAATTATGCGTTGACTTTTGTTTTGGATTGTTGTCAACGGAATCGACTTGTGTCTTCAAACTTGTTATATGCTTGGGCCTGTCACGTAATGGAACTTTAGTTAACAAGCGTGCTTTTACCTGGGCCTGTCACATAAATGGATTCCCAGCCCATGGCGACAAAAAGACCAACCCGCCCGCCAATTTATGTGTATCAATATGAGCGGCTACGTCGCAGGGAGTATTTGGTTATCGGGCAGAAAATTTGATTATGGTCATGCAAGCTAACTGAACTCAAATTCGAATTTTATTATCAATAGTTAATCGAGAACAATAAAATGAAGGAATAGAATAGTGGCAAACTTGGTTTTATGTAATCTTTGGTGTTTGGTATAATTGCACACCAAATTGCAAAACAAAACCTCCAGATAATCGCAAAATTAAACTACCCCAAAGCCCAATGACCTACCCCATTAGGTAACCTAAACCAAAAAGAATGAAAAATCGGTTAATTGGTTGAACGCGGTTAACCGCAACATAACCAAAAATCATATTATTAGTTTCTCATGTAACTGCAGCAACCACAATTATAATTGCTAAAATGACAAAAATTCGATTTTGGATAACCAACCAATTTGGTTTGATTAACATAAACTGAACCGAGGTTTAGCCCTATGACATATTTAGTATCAATCCAATTCGACCCGCGCATCACCCGAAACACATGGATTTATGTGTCTTATAATTTGATTTGGGTCGTGCATCACTTGACCTGAGGCATATGGATTGCATGTTTGAGAGGGTTCAAAACCAACTCACCCCGATTCATGTAGACCCCTAATCATAGTTCATTTTACTGTACTCCTTACCTTCAAACTAACGAAAGGAAAGAAAAACAATGTAGTACACAATAGATGTCAAACAACATAAAATAAATTAAAAAATGATAAAATAAAACTTGTTCTACATTTACATGACATAAGTGTAAGAAACAATCATCATGTTTTATTAGAACCTTGGTAGGTCCAAACAAACTGTGAACAAAAAACTCTTATTTGTTTGTTATCTAGCTGGCCTTTCTCGCTAAATGGGGAGTGAAGTAGATGTTGATACCTCATATCTCTTTCGCCATGCAATATATTATTAACCATTTTCATAGTTGGTGATGATTTCCAACATTACTTAGTTACCTAATCACTAGTAAAATGGGGAATGAACATATTTATTAAGTTTGTGTATTGAGCGAACAATGTATAAATAGAAAAGCTATGTCTAACCATCACAACTCATATCATAAAAACTCTCGGAGAAAACGGGTAAAATTTAAAAAAAATTCCTTGAATAATAACATTCAACTTGTTGTGAGTGAGGAATAGAGTTGGAAGCTCATCGATCGAGCATAACCTTGACTTGGATCATTAAACATACAATGAATTAATCACTACATAAAGCGATTGCATATCCATATGATAAGCGAATTCAACACTAAAAGTGAACACATACATATGATTATTATTCATAAGCCTAACATGTACAACACCTCGCCTCTAATTCATTAACAAAAAAATAATTTTTTTTGCATTGTCCATACAACTTAAGACACCACTAATCGCTGTCTCTTGCAAGTCCAATTTATTAGGCAAAAAATAAAGAACATTCATAATATAATTTGTTGGATCCAAGTTCTATCAACCTGTTAACTCGTCGGATACACAAACCAAATCAAGTAAGTAAAGATGGAAGCAAAATGATAGAATTGTAGCAATCACCTATATATGTAGAAAAACTTAACAATTCGACAGTGGAACAAATTGAACAAATGCATAGCAATATAAATCACTAAGTTTGATGACCAACAACCATCAATAAGACCACGTTGTAAATGGGAAAAAGAAAGTAAGATGTGCACAGTGAGCAACATATATTAGCATATGAATTTTCCTCATTATTAAGTTCATTCGGGGTTCATTTTCTTGAAATCAAATTGAGCCGCTTAAGCGTCTTAATATTTCATTTTTAAGGAAATTCCTTGTTTTGAATTTTTCGGTTTTTATTTTCGGTTTGATTTGGTTATACAAAGAAATCTCCCACCCTAGTCATACATATAATCGCTTTGATCCAATAATAAAAAAAATTCTTTTATTATATTGGAGTGTATGTGAGGGATGAGGTAAGATGACAAACCCTTTCATACTCATTAAAGTTCAGTTAATTATTTTCAAGTAACTTTAAACTACATTTTCATCAAACCTAAAGAACTTGAATCTCTCATCTGTTTGTGGTATCCTATAGGAGTGGTTATACGGTCCGGTCCGATTAAATTGACCCGAATTGATCAGATCCCAGTCCTGTCTTTTCGAGAATATAAGGACCAAGGATTGGATTGGATACGGTCCGGTCTTGAACCGATCCGGTCCCAATTCGGCCTTCATTTTAGATTGAGCTTGTGGGGATTTGAGTGACTTGAAGGGGGGATTTGAGTGGCATGTGGCCTGAAAGGGAGAGTATGTTAAATTTTGGGTGTTGGGCTCTCTATCAGGTCTTTATCCGGTTTTCGGCCCGATCCCGAACAATTTTTAACCTCAAATCTTGGCCCAAAGATGGGATTGGATTGTTTGCTATCCGATCTCGGTCCGGGTTATAAGGACCAGTTTCGGGTAAAACCAAAAATTTCTGACCAAATAGCCACCCCTAGTATCCTATTAGTGATATTCAATGGCTAAACCCAACCACACAAAAAGCTTTCCTCAAAGTAGTTGACACCTGACTTAATGTGTAATAAAAAGAAAATGAATTCATCATCTATGTCTACTTCCCTCATAACAACAATGAAAAAATCAAATAATTAAGATTTTGGATAATCTGAAGATCAAAATGAAAGATGGTGAAGCATGCCATACATAGGACTATCAATATGGATTAAATTTTTATTCTTTCAATTAAACGGATAGATAAGGTGCTCTTATCAATTTTTGGTTTCGGTCCCAAACTCTTTGTGCTTATGATTTTTTGTTTGGTCAAAACTGATAAAAATGAAAAAAAATCACAACCAATACACAAACACTCAATATTAATTAAGCCTCGGGTTTCATTTTCTTGAAATAAAATTGAACCGCTTAAATTTCGAGTTTCACTTTCTTGAAATTAAACTGAACTGTTTAACCCTCTTAACACTTCATTTCTAAGGAAATTATTTTATTTTATTTCCTGGTTCGATTCGGTTAGACAAAACAATCTTCCCCTACTTATACATACAATATCTTTGACCAAATAATAAAAAACTTCTTTTCATATATTTGAGTGTGTGTGGGATGGGGTAAGATGGCAAGATTTTTTTTCTTTAATAAAGCACTCAATATTCAATTAAGCCTCATGTTTAATTTTTTTAAATAAAATTGAACCGCTCGGTTTTCACATTTTTGAAATCAAATTCAACCGTTTAACCCTCTTAACAGTTAAATTTTAAGGAAATTATTTTATTCGGTCTTATTTTTGTTTCGATTCAGATAGACAAAGCAATTTCTCCCTACTTATACATACAATATTTTTGACAAAATAATAAAGATTTTTTTTTAATATATTTGAGTGTGTGTGAGGGATGTGATAAGATGACAAGTTTTTTCATCCTCACTAAAAGACAAAATAAAATAGTAAGTTGGTAAAAAGTGCATCTACTAATACACAGGGGTGGAAATCGGTACGGTATCGGTATCCCAATACCAAATACCGAAATCCTGAATACTAAATTACACCCTAAAATCAATCCCAATCGCTAAATAATTTTGGTATTCCAATCTCAATCCCTAAATATTTTGGTATTCCAATCGGTACTTCAGTATTTCAATCGGTATTATCGAATACGAAATTAATTATCTTTGTAGTTAATAATTAAGTATATAAATTAGATTTGATTAGGACAAAGAGATTAAGCAAAGAATCTTGAATTTGCCTAGAACTAGGATATGGATAAGAAGAATAGAGGAGAGGCGACATCTCAAGTTCTTGTCATTGATAATTTTTAATTTGACGAATTGGAGGCTGAGAGACGACTAATACTAGTGTTTTCCTTTTTGGTGTTATGAAAATAACAAGAGATTTGGTGAGATACGAGAGTGACTTAATTTGGAAAGTCAAAATTGAATTGGATGGAGACTTCTACGTTGTGAAATAGTGATTGAATGGCTCAAGATAGGGTGAGTAACTATGAGTAACCAAATCTGGACCATTCTTTTAATTGGCTGCAGATCTAAGGGTGGAAAATTAAAGGAATTTATTTTCCCTAGTTTTCTTGATTGGATCATATATTCTTCATTTTAACTCAGATTTCAAATTTTTTATTTTTTTTGCACAGATGGAACGAGTTCGTTGTGCTCTACAAAATGAAATCCATTTTCAATATTTTTTGAGAAAAAAAATTTCATACCTCTCGTTACCAACTCTATACCATATGGTATCTCCTTCGTTGTTTAGTCGCTTTCGGAAATTTTTGCACAGAAGGAACGATTTAATCATGATCTATTGGATTTCAAAATTTTCTGGGTGAAAAAATTTTATACCTCACGTTACCAACTCCATACCATACTATACCACCCTGGTATGGGGTGGTATTTTTCATACCATATGATATGCTGTTATTTAATACCACTCAATCCCATTTGGTATAGACTGGTAATAACTGGCACATTTTTTATTTCCAAAAAATATCAAAGTGGATATCATTTTGAATAGCAAAATTAATCTGATCTAACTGTGCAAAAAAAAAAAAATTAAATTCCGAGTTAAAACGAGTGAGAAATCGTTCGTTAAAGATTAAGAGAAGGAAAATGAAAGGTTTTTCGATGAGAGAGGAGGTGCTGATGTGGCGGATTCTTATTGGGTTATGCATGGGGTTACTCACCTGATGGTTACTAATGAGATCCAGACCCGGGTGAGTAACTATGAGTAACCAAATCTGGACCTTTCTTTTAAGTGGTTGCAGATCTAAGGGTGGAGAATTAAAGCAATTTATTTTCCTTAGTTTTCTTGATTGGATCATATCTTTTTCATTCTAACTCGGATTTCAATTTTTTTTTTGCACAGATGGAACGAGTTCGTTGTGTTCTACAAAATGATA